CTGAGTAAAGGTCAATCCTGGTTGACAACCAATGACAGTAATAATCTTACTGTGTTGAGTTTTATCACCGGCGTAAATGTCTTCTGATATTCGATTTCATTGGACTTGGTGAACACTTTTGCTGCAAGTCTAGTATTGAACCTTTCTATGCTTCCATCTGCTTTGTATTTAACAATGAATACCTATTTGCACCTCACAATTCTTTTTTCATGTGGCAGAGTTGTTATGATCCATGTACCATTTTTATCAAGAGCAAAAATTTCTTCTTCTACGTCATCAAACTTTAACACTCTATTGGACATTCTATTTATGAGATAAGTGGTTATGAGAATTGCATCCCCTTATAAGTGTTTGGGTACATTTTTAGTGAATAAAATTAAACAGGTTACTTTAAGGAGATGTATGTTCTTTCTATTAACCACACCATTTTGTTACGGTGTGTCAACACAAGAATTTATATGAATGATATCATATTTGGATAGATAAGGGCCAAGAGTCCAATTGTAGTAATCTTTTGCATTATCAGTTTTGATAATTTGAATTTTTCTTTGAAATTGGGCGAGAATCATGTTGTTGAATGTTTCAAATATTCTGACACTTCCAGTTTTTTCTTTCATGAGAAATGTCCAAGTGGTTATAGTGTGATTATCAATGAAGTTGTCAAACCACATAGCCCCATTTGCATTTTTTATTTTTGAGGGTCCCCTAGATATCTCTATGAACTATGGAGAGGGGATGTATCAGTTTGTATTTCAGGTATGGTTGCACTTGTCGAGTATATTTAGCATGTTGATAAGTTTCACGCAGATAAGAACTAGGTTTCTTTATTGATAAGCAAATGAGGATATAATTTTTCAATATAATAGAAGTTAGGATGTCCTAGACAAAAAATGCAATAACATAACTTGACTCTTATGAGAAGTTGACTCATATACAAGACTCGATTCAAATGATTGTGAGTGATTGGATAATCCTTTTGAAGCGGAAGACTTAGTGAGCAAATAAAGTCTATGATACTTGTCAGCATTGTCAATCACCTTCTCGAGTCCATCACATGAAATTCACACAAATTAAGGTACAATTTAGTAACACAATTCATGTCGTGAGTAAGTTTATTGATAGATAGTAAATTGCAATTAATTTTAGGAACATAAATCACGGATTGAAGAATAGACTTTTTTGTGAATTTCATAGTTTCCAATAATTATTTACAGAAGACTCAGAATATTGTCCCAGAATTCTTTAGAGGGCTTCAGGTTGTTCTTTAATGAATTGACTACGTTCATGAGGCTTGTCATCCTTTGATGTTATGTTTGTCTGATTTTTTGCATCACCTTTGGCTTTATTGGGCTTCCAATCCGCAGTTTTTCAATAAATTTTCCAACACTTCTCTTTCAGATGACCAAGCTTCTTGTTATTTTCACATTACGGTATGTTCCTCTTTGATTTGTTATTTTGTGATGATTTGTGGGTGCATAAAGTTGAGTTGTTAATATTTGGTGTGGTGCGGTTGCTTTTCATCATGTGTTTCTTCCTACTCTCTTCCCTTCGCATTTCGACAAAGGCTTCATGAATTGAGGGAAGAGGTTTGAGTCCCATGATTCTTCCTTTAACTTCATCTAGGTCCTTATTGAGTCCTAAAAGAAACTTGATGGCTCTCTTCTACTCGACAATGGTTTTCTAAATAGCAGTCTTGCGAACACCCCCATGTGTGTATTTCATACATATCTAATTGGAGATAATATTTAGAGAGAGTGTTGAAGTATTGAGTAACATTCAACTCATCCTGTTGCGGGTCATGTAATCTCGTTTCAATTTCAAACAGCTCAGATGTTGTCAACACTTGAATAGGTTTCTCTAGCGGCATCCTGAATTTCGTTTGTCATTTCGTATGGGAGGAAGTTCTCTCCAATTTTTGTGGTCATTGAGCTGACAAGCCCTCATGTGATCTTCAATCTTCTATGTCTGATGTTTCATATCACTAATTTTTGAAGAGGGATTTTTTTCAGGTAGATGATCATCTTTTTATTTGCCACAGATATACATGAACACTGATTGAAACCATTGTATGAAATTATTGTCATGTAGTTTGTGATTAGTGATGTAGAAATAGTCTTTGGTTGCTATAGAGTCAAATATCTTAGGTTCGGGTTCAGATGTAACTTATGAGGAGGAATAAGTAGCTTTCATGACGTATTTTATCATCATTAGTAGTGAAGTTGTCTACTTTTAACACAAAATTTCCACTATTTCCACTAGAAAGAGAAACTGTGTGCCGCCAACACTGAATTTTTACTAGATAGGGAAATTGTTTGTCGCCAACACTGAGTTTTCACCGGAAATTGTATATTGCTGACACAGAATTTCAATCTCAATGTTCAGACCAACTATGACAACAACAATTTTTGTCCCCGTCGGATTAGAGAGCAACTACGCTGAGAACTGGGAAGCAGATTCAAGAGCAATTGTTGCTGAGAACCACAGTGAGGCCTACAAGTGTGAAGCAGAAGAACTTGAGGCTGAGAAGCAGAGGAATTCCCATGCAAGCCTTGGATTTCCACCGGAAAGAGAAAGTATGTCTACTGGCGCTAGATTCTAGAGAAAATTTCTATTGGAGAGAGATAGTCCCATCTGAACCTGTGGAGGTCCGGTTGTTGCGATTGATTTTGCTTTTCTCTGAGACAGGAAGAAGGCTTGAAGGTGCAACCGCTACACCTGATTTCCACCGGACAAAGTGCGGTTATGAGGCATGGAGAGGGCGGCGCCGAGGAAGTGCGAGGACGGCTCTGACAGCCAAGAAGTTAGGGAGGTCCTACAGGGAATATTCTACATGCTGAAATAGAGATCTAGGGTTTGTCTCCTAGCTCTGATACCATATAGAATTTTTGGAGGAGCTTTCTTAGAGGAAAACTATCTAGTTTTTTGTTCTTCTAATAGAAACAAATGACAAGTATGTATAAAGCTTAGACTAGCCCTAATATGATTGGAGGGAAATTCAAAATCATCATGATAAGAAGGATAGAAATAAAAACATAATAATGGATAATAAATGGAGAGCAATTCTCCCCCGCAAATGTAAAAGGCCCATGGTTTCCTAAACCGTGGATGGGCCCCCTATGGTCCATTATCAACACATACTTATAGTCTTAAGTTTTTGGTCGAAAACATGTTTGACCATTAGTGTAATAACTCATTTTTGGTCTTCTTTGGTCCTCACTCTCTAAAAATGTGGTATCAGAGTTACAAATTTTGTTAGAATAGCGTGATTCATGTTGTCTACTTTTATGTCTTTTGTGTTGGGAAAAAATCAAGTGCTTAAGGGCAAAAGGAGCGCGAGTACTATAAGAATAATCTGCAAGGAAACACACCCAAAAAATATGAAACAAGATAATTTACTCAGTTTTGTGAGATCCATTTATGTACACAATCGCACATAGAGATTATTTCACTAGTCCAAGAGATGAAGCTTTCAGGGAGGAAGCGATCTCCGTCAAGGTTCGCATTAGATCCCCTACGAGCTTCTGGATGTGAACAAATGGCACGTCCTTCCACCAGAAGGCGCTAGTGAATGAATAGGTTGAAAGGCTTGTACGCCCAATCTGTGGTTGGTAGGTGCTCGATCTAACAAGAAGTACGGCTACCTGCCTAGAAGTTGTTCGGTGTTTCAAACCGGAAGTCCAAACCCCAGGCCAGTGAAGTTCAGTGGTTCTAGATTCCTGCCTTGATTATAATATTTGTAATCAAATATCCTTTTATCTCACAAAAACTCTCTCTCTCTCTCAATCACAAATTCCCACTCATCTCCCTTTCTCTTCAGAAGAGCCAACCTACCCACACATATATATCTCTTGAGAAGTTCCACCTCGCTTGACCATGCCACCAACTTATTGACTCATTTAGATAGCTGCCTCTTCTTGTCACCTATCAAGCCATAGGGTGCTATCAAGAACCATTAGCCACTATCAACTTGATGTCTAACTTGTCTCCTTTGTCGGTTTAGCCACGGGCCTCATGTTATTGCCACTGACCACCTATTGAATTGAGAGAGGTGCACTGTATAGATCTATTAGTTCCACTGCTAATTTCATCTTTACCTTGGTAACCATTTTTGTCCTAAATGCGCGAACAAGATCTTTACCAATTTGTATTCCAAATGTTATCAAAGTCTTGTCTTTTTGTGTTTTGGAAATTTGTAATCAGAATTGTTAATGGAATCGGGCTCCTTTTCTAATGTTTGAAACTTTGTATCACAGTGAGAAGTTTTATCCTTCAGATGATGGTTGCATGTAACAGCCCAACTTTGATTCTTTTTGTTCCAGAGGTCTCAACACATAAAAAGTAGAGAATCCCTTGTACCGGATATCATTTTTATTTTTTTCAAGGCATTTACATACATGCCACTCAATTCCTACGTATTTACATACTTAAACACCTAAATTTTAGTTCATGCCTTTCTACTACCCAAATCTTTTATATCATGCATAGGTAAGTATGTATGTAAAAATTGAAATTTAAGTGTTAGACATGTAAAAATGTAGGAATTGACTGGTATGTATGAAATCATCCTTTTTTTTTTGTGTGTGTTAAGATTTTTAAAGTTTGACAGCCGGTAAGATACTAAAAGCATGGGTTAATAATTTAAATCTTGTCTGCCCTTAGCTAGAACTGCATAAGGGTTGAAAATCTTTTGCTTGAAGCTCTCACCATCATTAATGAAAAGAATTGTTATATTTTATTATTTGCAGGTATACCAGAACTTTGTGTATTGTTTCTAATTTAAACATTCATTTTGAACATCAATGTGTTTTCTATACCTATTCATGCTTAAGGAAATAAAACATAAGAAGCTAATAAAATAAAGGTTAACAAAAGATAAATTTTAAGTCAATTTGGTAGAGTCAAATTAAATTTTTCATAAAATTAACACTAATAATGTTGCGCAAACATGGTTTTCTGGACTGCTCTTGCAAAGGCATACTCATGGTACTTTTTAATTTCAGTGCTGGGAGAAGGCAGAGTTTCCCTTCCATGTTATTCCAAAGCTTGCTGCTCTGAATGTTGCTGGGGGAACAATAAAGGTGAGAGGCATTTACATACATATGAAACAATTCCTAATGTATTTACATATCTAGCAGGTAAATTTTAATTTTTACATTTATAACACTCAAATCTTTCATGTAACATAAAAAATATCACTCTTACCAATGCACAGGTAAAGTGTTATAAGTGTAAAAATCAATGTTTGGATATTAGATATGCAAATACATAGGAATTGTGCGGTATGAATATAAATCTCTCTAAAGATAATAGCATTACTGTCCTTTTTTACTTATAAATTTATGTTTATACCACTGGTTCTTTGTTTGGCAGGGTTATGGTTGTCCGGGACTTTCGATCACTGCTAGTGCTGTTTCTTTAGCAGAGATTGCTAGAGTCGATGCTAGCTGTTCCACCTTTGTATTGGTTCATTCTTCATTAGCAATGCTTACAATTGGTATAAATGAAATTTGGCTTTTGGTCCCATCTCCTTGTGCAAATGTTAATGTAGTTTCTAGGCGAAAAAAAAACTTCAATATTTTGCTTTGGAAGATTTGCATGCATACCACTCATTTCTCATGTATTTACATATCTAACAACTAAACTTCAATTTTTACATATATACCACCTTACCAATGCATAAAAAGGTGTATTTTACCTTTTAAATGTTGAAATGATGGTATTTTTGATATGATATGAAAGACTTGTGTGGTATAAATGTAAAAAGTAAAGTTTGTGTTCGATATGTTAATATAATACATAGGAATTGGTTGGTATGTATGTAAGAGCCCCCTTTTTTTCTCATGTTTTCTGTAAAATACAGGACTTTGCGGATCAGAGGCGCAAAGACAGAAATATTTACCATCGTTAGCACGATTTAGTACAGTTGCATGTTGGGTAATTCAATTTGATTTCAATACAAAGTGCTTGTTAAAGTCCTTTTAACATTTTTTTGAAGTTTTATTGCTGAATTTACATATTCCAGGCTTTAACTGAGCCTGACTATGGAAGCGATGCAAGCTCTTTGAGTACCACTGCGACAAAGGTTTCCTAACCTATATTACTGAATAATTTTTTTTATTAATTACATAAATATCTATTTTTGCAATATCTTAAATTTTCATAGTTCATACATATTACTTATAGCCATTACTTTGGAACAGGTTAATGGAGGTTGGTTATTGGAAGGACAGAAGCGGTGGATAGGAAACAGCACGTTTGCCGATGTCCTGGTTATTTTCGCTCGGAACACAAGTACAAACCAGATTAACGGGTAATAACAACTCGCTTTCTTATGAAAAAAATTTGGGACAGGATATCCTGACCAGTTTTTGGTTATAATGGATCCCAAAACTGTTGGATTTGCTTTGAGGTCATTGCAATATATCAAAATTAAAATTTGCAATTTTTCCCAACATTTATGAACCGCTTGAGTTTTCATGTTAGATTGCAGTGGAATATATGGATTTTGAACTGTTTTTCTATCTTTGAGTTTACATATCTAATACGTAAACTTTCATATTTACATGTATTACATTAAAAAAATTAACATCACATCAAACATACCACCATTATTAACTTTTTAGAAGTGTACATTTTTCATGCATAGGTTTTTGAGACAAAGTGTTAGAAGTGTACATATTAAACTTTTGGTGTTAGACATATAAAATATTAAACTTTTGGTGTTAGATATATTAAACATAAAAATTGTGCGATATGCATGTAAATTTTCCTTCATTGATTTTGTTTTGATGATTTCAGGTTTATTGTGAGGAAGGGTTCCCCTGGTTTAAGTGCTACCAAAATAGAAAACAAAATTGGGCTAAGAATTGTTCAGAATGGAGATATTCTATTAAAGAAAGTATTTGTCCCAGATGAGGATAGGTTACCAGGTGTTCATTCCTTTCAGGACACAAGTAAGGTATGCTCTTGTGTTGCTTTTAGGCATCCAAATTCTATGTATCTACATATCTAACTCCTAAACTTCCTTCTTACATTTATACCACTCAAATGTTTCCTATCACATCAAAATTATCAGTATTCTAACTTTTAATGTGAAATATAAATACTACACAATTCTTACATATTTACATATGTAACAGCTCAACTTCCATATTTACAAACATAACTCTTCAATCATTATCATCGCATAAAAAATGACACTATGCTATCTTTTCAAAAGTGAATAACTCCTTTTCATGCATACATTGTTAATACCAAGGTTTTATAAATATAAATATCAAATTAGGTGTTGGATATGTTGTTGCATATGGATTGCATGGTATATATGTAAATTTCCCTTTAATTAATTTGTGAAAAACTTGAACTACCCTGGTGTTTTCAAATCATTTTTTTTTTGTATTAACTTCTTTTTTTTTAAGATTTGTATCCATGATGCACATTTACATGTATGGGGGATATAGATATGAAATAAACTTGAGGCATGTCTATTGGCTTAATAATTGTAAAAATCAAATAAACATAAAATGTATACCATCTAATTATATAATAATTAATTTTATATCTCTACAAAATAAACAAAAATTAACTTTTTAAAAAAGGCAATTTAAATAAAATGAAGTGTTGCAACAAAATAAAAGTCTCAAATTAAGATGGCATATATGTAAAAATTGAACTTGTAAGTGTTAGTGCATAGGATTGAGTGGTATGTTTGTAAATCTTCCCATAAGTTTTCATTCATGTATTGTACTATATGCTCTTCATTTATGAATGATCCAAACACAGGTACTCGCCGTTTCTCGCGTTATGGTTACATGGCAGCCGATCGGCATTTCGATGGGCGTATTTGACATGTGCCATCGGTAACAATTTTTTACTCTGGAAATTATTATTTTTTATTCAAAATCTGATTTCCTTAGTTAACTCGATGTACGAATCGATCAACTAAACCAGGTATCTTAAAGAACGGAAGCAATTTGGAGCCCCACTCGCCGCATTCCAAATCAACCAGATAAAACTAGCTCGCATGCTCGGAAACATTCAAGCCATGCTTCTTGTTGGTTGGCGCCTCTGCAAGCTATATGAATCGGGAAAGATGACTCCTGGTCAGGCTAGCTTGGGGAAGGTTAATCAGTTTCTCACCAAGTCGCTAAATTTATATAAAGAAATCTACATACATATCACCCAATTCCTATGTATTTACATATCTAACAACTAAAATTTACTTTTCACATTCATTGCACCCAAATATTTCATATAACATCAAAATTACTACATTTTTTTTTACTTTTAAAAAGTGGAAAACACCTTTTCATGTATAGGTAAAGCGGCATAAATACAGGCAATAATTGAACTTTAGGTGGTAGATATGTAAATACATATGAACTCTTTGGTGTATGTGTAAGTCATTCAAATTTTTATTGTTGGAAATTTTTGGAGAGGAGGGAGATTTGGATTATTGGAAATGATTGAAGAGAATAAGGATAATTTTATTACTAAGCTTTGTTGAGTAGTTTCCAACTTACGACAACAAGTTATGCCTAAGTTATGCCTATTTCTATTTATAGGCATGAGAGACTAAATCTAGAATCTTCTAAACTCTTACATTTATTTATAGAAAAAAATACTCTAGATTCTTTCTATTTAAATATTCTAGAGTATTCTTATTTAATACAAGTTTCCTAGAATCTTTTACTTAAGGCTAGGTAGAATAATATAGAACATTAGAGAAAAAACATCAATTTTATCACACCTTGATGCGAATTTCGATTACTCCAATCATATTGCATAGCAGTTCAAACTTTCCTCTTGGAAGTGCCTCTGTGAATATGTCTTCTAGTTGTTCTTCGGTCTTGCAGTACTTGAGCTTAATTTTTGTATTTGTTGCAGCTTCTCTAATGAAATGATATTTGATACCAATATGTTTAGTTTTGCCATGAAATATATAATTTTTTTCCATTGTTATAGTTGATTTGCTATCATAATAGATTTATATAGCTCCTTTTTGTGGCTTTCCCACATCTTCTAATATGTATTTTAGCCATATAGCTTGGCTTATAGTCGTGGCAGCTGCAATATATTCTGTTTCGGCTGATGATTGTGCAACAGTTGCTTGTTTCTTTGATGCCCAAGAAAATATTCCTGAACCCTATGTGAATGCACATTTTGAGGTGCTCTTCTTGTCATCCGATGATGTGGAATAATCACTGTCAGTATATCTAATTAGCCTTGTGTTAGGAATGGATTCAAACCGGATAACATAGTTCCTCGTTCCTTGTAGATATCTAAGAACTCTTTTAGCTGCTCCTTGATGAACTTGGCTTGTACTTTGCATAAACCTTGAGAGTAGACTTGTTGCATACATGATGTATATTCTTGTCATTGTTAGATAAAGTAAGCTTTCAATGAGGCTTCAATAGAATGTGTTATCAGCCTTTGGTGCATTATCACTTCATAAGTGTCTTGTTATCTAGTGGAGTAGCTACTAACTTGAAATTGTTCATTTTAAATTTTCTTAAAAGATTTTCTATATTATTTTTTTTTTGTGAAGTGAAGGTCCCTCTTTCATTTTGAATTACTTCTATCCCAAGAAAATAATGCATAAGGCCTAAGTCGTTCACCTCGAATGTCTTCATCATGTGTACTTTAAAACCTTTTTTATCATCTTTTCATTATTTCCTGCAGAGATATGATCATCTACATATATGGAGACACTAAGAGTGTAGCTTTTACCTTGAGTTTTAATGTATAATGTTGGCTCACTTTTGCTCCTTCTGAAGCCTTGTTGTATGAAGTAGTTGTTAATTCAACTATGCTAAGCTCTTGGGGCGTACTTTAATCCATACAAAGCCTTCTTTAACTTGAGAACTTTGTTCTCTTGACCTTGTACTACAAATCCTGGAGGTTGTTTCACATAGATCTCTTCTTCCAGTTGCCATTTAGAAATGCAAATTTGACATCTAGTTGATACATCTTCCACTTGTTTTGCGTTGCAAGTGCAACTAATGTTCTTACTGTACATGTCGAGCAATTGGAGCAAATGTCTCATTGTAGTCAACTCAAATTGTTATGAGTATCCCTTAGCAACTAGTCTTGCTTTATATTTTTGAATTGATTTATTAGGATTGAGTTTCGTCTTGTGCATCACAGTTAACTTCAATTGCTTCATTTTCTTGTGAAGAGTGTATTATTTCCCTTGTTTTGTTTTTCTCAATTATCATTATTTCTTCTTCCATAGCTTTTCTCCACACTTCTTGCTTTGAGGCTTCTTCAAAACTTTATGGCTCCATGATTGTCAAGTTACAATGTTTACAATGTTCATATATTTCTGCTAGAGATTTTGTTCTTCTAGGTGGTGATTATGGAGATGAGTCTCCACCTTGATTTGGCTCTTGCAGGTGCTTGTGTTGATGATTCTGGTTGATTATTGACCTCTGCAACCTATTGATGTGTTATTTGTGTCATATTGACACTCCTTTCAACCTTTTTTGTCTCTCAATTGTATGTAACATCTTCATCAAATTCCACATCTCGACTAGTGATAAGCTCCTTTGTTCTTAAGCTATAGACTCAATATTCTTCAGATTGAGTACTATAGCCTAAGAAAATTCATTTTTCTATCTTTTCATCTAATTTGTTTTTTTTTTCTTGTGGAAAGTCAACATAGCAAATACAACCAAAGACTCTTAGATGTCTTGCAGAAGGCTTCCTCCATTCCAAGCTTCAATTGGTGTCTTGTCTTTCACGATTTTAGTTGGGCATCTATTTAGTAAATAGACTGCAGTATGTACAACTTCTGCCCAAAAACTTTTTGGAAGACTCGTATCCATTAGCATGGTTCTTCTTGTTTTTATTATAGTTTAGTTGTTTTTTTTCAGAAATTTCATTTTGCTCTGGCACATATGCAACTGTGAGTTGTCGTTCACCACCTTTTAATATCTTCAAGTAGTAGTCACTTTGTTTTTCAACATAAGTTTTGAATTTTTTGAAAATCTCGAATACTTGTGATCACTCTCGCAAGAAATAGACTCATGTCTTTCTTGTGTAGTCATCAATGAAAATGATGAATTATCTGTTTTCCTCTAGAGATGGAGTATATGCATTGGTCCACAAATTTCGATGTGAAAAAGTTGGCTCCTTAGCTCTCTATGCTTTGCCTGATTGAAATGACTGTCGATGTTGTTTACTGAGTAAGCATCCTTCACAAACATTATTGATTTCCTTCATTGTAGTGAGATCTTTTATCATGTCTTTTTGATGCAGAATCTTCAGCTCGCCCAAGTCGCTTATGTCAAATCCATGACTCATCTATTTGTGTCTCATTACCATATTATTTATGTACCTCCACTAAATAGGAAAGCACTTGTTCTCTTTTATTTTGATCTTTGCAATTTCTAAGGGATTTGTCTTGCTTGCTCTAAAAATTCAAAGAGTATATTTTCTCGATCATTTGACCCACACGAAGTAGATTTTGATCAATGTTTGGGACTAAGAGTACATCACTGATATATCTTTTCTCTTTTCTTGTGTTAATGGCTATGGTGCCTCTTTCTGTTGCCTCCATGAATTCACCATTTCCTACTTTGACTTTTGTCTTGGTTTTTTCAAGACTATAAAATAGTTCTTGATTTTTTATTATGTGAGTACAACAATCACTATCTAGATACCATGTGTCTTTTTTCTCTTCTACTATAACTGGACAAGCATAGAAGAGATTTTTATCTTCACTTTTCCTTTCTGAAAAATTGGCCCGTTGATTTTGCTTCAATCGACAAATATTTTTGTGTGCCCAAATTTCTTACAATTTTGGCCATGTGGTTTTCCTTTAAACCAACAATCTTTCTTCAAATGACTTTTTCTTTTGTAAATGTCATATGGAGAATATTTCTCACATTTTTCTTGATTATTTTTATTTTTAAAACTTTCATGTGAATTTCTCCCACCTTTTGATATATGAGACCGTAAATTTATTTTAGATTGAAAGGTGTTTTCTGTAGTATTCTCATTTCGCTTTTTCAATTTTTTTTTCGTATGCTTCAAGGAAGCCCATTAATTCTGTTCGTGATAGAGTTTCTAAATCCCTTGATTCTTCAATTGCATATATTATTGTATCATATTTTTCTGTACAATAAATTAGTATCTTTTCTACTATTTCCTTATCAGGAATGATTGCTCCATGGACTCATTTGATTAACTATTTCATTTATCTTGGAATTTTCATCTTTTGCGGTCTTTTTATCTTTTATTTTAAGACTCTCAAAATCTCATTTAAACTTTTGTAATTTGATGGAGCGTATCTTTTTAGTTCCTTCAAACTCTTCCATAATGTGTCCCGCGCTTGCTTTGCAGTTGTTGCACCCATGATTCAAGGAAATATATCATCTGTCATGCTTGTTGTAAAACAAATAATTCTTGAGAGTGCTTTTTTGATTCTCTTCAAACGCCTTCTTTTACTAGGTTAAAAGAGTTGAAGTATCTTCCGAAGTATTGAATCCTTCTTCAACGATCTTCCTTAATTTTAAGAGTGAAAATAGGTCTTCATATTGATGGACCGAAAATCATAATTTTCTCCATTGAAGATTAGAATCGGGATGATGAGCGGTTTTGCTCTGATACTATCTGTTGGAAATTTTTGAAGAGTATGGAGCTTTGGATTGTTGGAAATGATTGAAGAGAAAAAAGATAATTTTATTACTAAGCTTTATTGAGTAGTTTTCAGCTGACGGCGACAAGTTATGCCTATTTATAGACATGAGAGACTAAATCTAGAATCTTCTAAACTCTTACATTTATTTCTAGAAAAATATACTCTAGGTTCTTCCTATTTAAATATTCTAGAGTATTCTCATTTAATACAAGTATCCTATAATCTTCTACTTAACATTAGGTAGAATAATCTAGAACATTAGAGAAAAACACCAATCTCATCATTTACATTATTTTGTCAGACTGAACTAACCGTATTGTGGATTCATTCACTCAGGCTTGGACCAGCAATAAGGCCAGGGAAACTGTTTCTCTTGGCAGAGAACTACTTGGTGGCAATGGTATCCTGGCTGACTTCTTAGTGGCAAAGGTTAGCTTTTCTTTACTGTTCTTCATCATAATAACAGATAACCCGTGTCAATCTGAGTTAACAGGTTGAATTGGACCCGAATTTGACATGATACCAACCTGACCTGTTTATTAACTCAGGCATTCTGTGATCTGGAGCCAATACTTTCTTATGAAGGGACTTATGAAATCAATAGCTTGGTGACTGGAAGAGAAATTACGGGGATTGCAAGCTTTAAGCCTGCTGTGCTGGGTAAAGTAAGCCGCCTTTAATTTTGATTTTAAGCCCGTGGAAGAGGAGGTTTAATGCTCAAATTATGCTCATTTAATTTCTAAGTTGTGTGTATCATGCAATAATATGAAATTTGTTCGTTAGCTTCTAGAATAAAAATAACACCACAATAAATTATGTTTATTGCTGCTTATATGTACTACCGGTGTCTTGTTGGATGGCGCTCTGTCCCGGGTTTGAATCCATCTTGATCGAATTAACACATATGGGGTTGACAGACACATGTTGCCAATATTTATATATCAAAATTTATGCGTGAAAAAGATAAATTTTATTTAGAAGGTTAATAATAGTGATAATTTCAATGTAATATTAAGCATTTTGAGTATTAATATATATGTGTATATAAAGGCATAGGAGTATTTATATGTAAATATGTAAAAACTGTGTGGCATGAATTTAAATCTCCATTAAAAAACTAATCTTATTTTGAAACATAATTAATTATTTGTTTAGTGTTAAAAATTCTTAAACAAATTGTTTCCATTGTGACTTAGTACATGTTGTATATATATAAATATATTTTAATTTCTTATAGAACTTTTCATTAATTTTATTTATTTCTTTTTTTTTCTCATAAATTATGAAATAAGAAATTTAATAGGCTCAATTAAAATAAAAAAATAAATATATATTAGTTTTATTAAAATATAAAATTGTATAGCATTAACATGCATATTATATGTTTACACATGTAGCAGCAAAGTTTCAATTTTTATATCTATAACCCTCAAATCTTTTGCATCATATCAATAATATATAACTATTATTAACGTTTGAAAAAACGAAGCACATCTTCTCCAAACATAGGTAAAGTGTAAATTTAGATGCTAAATGTGTAGATACAGAGAAAATGTGTGATATATATATGCAAACCTTCCTCAATTTTAATGCAAGCCTCAACCACACCTTTTCTAGTTTCTATTGTCCAGCTTTATTTTAAAATTTAATTCTCATCTAAGGATAGCCATTTTTATACATAAATTTATAAAACCAATACAATATAAATATAAATATTACACTTTAAATGTCTAGTTGAAGAAAAATTATTCTGTCAAAACGCCTAACGTAGAGAATTATTCGAAGTCCAATGAAATCAAGCTACTATGCAGTGACAGAAAAAAAAATAAATTTGTCTGGTAACACAAGATAATATTTCTCCTGTGTTATTCATGTGGTATTGTGTTTTATTCAAATGTTAATGATGTGTTATTTTGTTATTATAACACTGAAAATATTCCTAGAACACAATAACCCTAAATAACATATAATAACAACTAAATAATACAGAATAACAGGTGAGGAATATTAACGTGTTACTGGGTTGTTGTTTTTTTTTTTTTGTCACCATCACGTAACGTGATTTTATTGAACTTCAAATGACTCTCAACGTTAGGAGTCCTGACAGAATATGCGCTCTTATTTGAATTGTGTGGATACCTATGAAAATTCCTTTTTATTAGAAGATGCCTAATGTCATTTTCCCAACCATGAAGGAATGATAAGCTAGAAAATGCCTTGGCTTGTGAATGTTGGAAACAACAAATAAATATTCATTTTTGGGAACAATCATATAAAGCATAAATACATCATAGAAAAAAAAAACAAAAAGAAGAAATAATATATGAACAATATCATCTATATCGTTCACCGGCTCCATCAGCCGGTGTCGGTGACATGATATCACATCAGCCGCCGAGGCTTCGCCGGTGTCTTCTTTCCCCCGCCTCTAGTTGCCGGCGTGACATGGAGAACGTTCGCCTGAGGCCCCCGATAGTCGTCGGTCTTCACTGCAAGCGACCTCCTCTCGTCTTCTCCTTCTGTAGCGATCATCAAATTAAGCCTTTTCATCCATTAAATATAAATAGGTATCCCTATATTTGCCTTACATAAATTCATAGACAGAATATGTAATTATATATTTAACATTGAGAGTTTGATATTTATATTTATATCATTTTACATATGCATGAAAAAATGTGTGTTTTACTTTTCAGAAGTTCATGACATTGATATTTTCATATGATATTAAAACTTTGAGTGCTATAAATAAATTATTTTCACACAAGTAGGGGTGTAAACGAAAAGTGTGTTCGTTTTGAAAATATGTTCGGCTCGTTTATGTTTCGATCAAAAAGTGTATTCGTGTTCGGCTCATTTTCTTAACGAGCCGAACACGAACAAAGGGCCGTTTTCACAACCCTATTCACGTAGTTATCAGATGTTAAGAATTGAGGTAAGATTTAAAAAATTATTGTTTATATTAAAACATCATTTGAATCTAATTTAATAATTTTTATTTTATTTTCTTAGTTAATACTTTTATTTGATTATAAATTTTGTATCCCTGTAGTCAATTAAAATTTTAAAAAATCCTACTCATCAAAATATATATAATTGATGAGTAGTATTTTAAGCCAAAAAGAGCCGAAACACGAACAACAAATCTTTGTTCGTGTTCGACTCGTTAACTTATCGAGCGAGCCAAATACGAGTTTCTTAATGAGCCGAATACGAGCTGTTCGCAAAGAACTAGTCATTTTAACAACCCTGCACACAAGAAGTTTGAAGCCGGGACTTATGAGTTTAATCTATATGTGTGGGCCCCAACCTAATTTCCTTCAGCCATTTATATACATACCAACTAATTCATATGAATTTACATATCAACACCAAAACTTTATCTTTTCCTTTTATACCATCAAAATCTTTCCTATCAAATTAAAAATATTACTATTTTAAATTAAAAAATAGAATATATATTTTTATGGTAAGCGCGCGCGTGTTTTTATGTTTGGACGAGCGCGCGCCGCGTACCCCGATTTGTTGTCTGGCATCCACGGTATAAGACCTCTTGGGCCAGGGGTTCGAATCCCCTTTAACACAGTTGACATCAAAGTGGTGGTAGTTGAATTGTTAGACACATTAGAGGTTGCTAGAGACTCGTATACTAGCCTCTGACTATTATTTATATGCTGGTCTGTTGGTGGATGGGTCATTGTAAGTCATCTTAGGTCAGGGGTTAGACCCCCGTGGTGCGGGGTTCTCGAATAGTTAGCAAATGACACAGACTTTCATCATGGGGCCTAACGCACAGAAAATCGGTATTTGGATCTCTGTCAAATATCGATTTCCTTTAAAAATAATATAT